CCCCTTTAGCCTCCAAGCAGCTCCATAAGACCTCCCTAGGAACCCTGTCGTACGCTTTCTCCAAATCAATACACACCATGTGGAGATCCTTCTTCCTATTCCTGTATTGTTCCACCATCCTCCTAATAAGGTGGATAGCTTCTGTGGTAGATCGCCCCGGCATGAACCCGAACTGGTTGTCTGAAATAGACACCGTCCTTCGCACTCTCATTTCTACCACTCTCTCCCAAACTTTCATGGTATGACTCAGTAATTTGATACCCCTATAGTTGTTACAGCTCTGGATATCGCCTTCTTATACAACAGAACCATTGTACTCCACCTCCACTCTTCAGGCATCCTATTAGTTTTGAATATAACATTTAAACAACCCAGTAAGCCATTCTAAGTCTGCTCTACCCACACACCTCCAAAGTTCAACCGGAATTTCGTCTGGCCCGGTAACTCTGCCCCTCCTCATCTTACGCATCGCCTCCATGACCTCATCGACCTCAATGTCCCTACAATAACTTAATTCATGGGGACTGTCGGCATTCCTCAATTCACCTAGTACAATATCCTGATCCCTTTCTTCATTTAGAAGTTTATGAAAGTAGGTCTGTCACCTCCTCTTAATCTGGTCAACCCCCATCAAAACTTTGCCGTCCTCATCTTTTATGCACCTCACTTGGTCCAGATCCCGAGCCGTCCTCTCTCTCACCTTAGCCAGTCGGAATAACTTCTTCTCCCCGCCTTTGTTCCCCAGTTCCTCATACAGACGAGCAAAAACTGCAGTCTTAGCCTCCGTGACTGCCATCTTCGCCTCCTTCCTAGCTACCTTATACCTCTCATTGTTCGCTCTCCTCTCCTCCTCGCTAGTGCTCCCTACTAACCGCAGGTAAGCCGCCTTCTTTGCTTCCACTTTACCTTGGACAACTGCATTCCACCACCAGTCTCCTTTGTGGCCACCGGTGCGGCCCGAATATATCCCTAACACCTCTCTCACCGCCTTCCTTATACAGTCCGCCGTCGTCATAGGATATCATGTAGGATACTTACTTGAAAAATAACGAGTCCTATATTGGATCTATTACATGAGCATAACATAAAATTTCCTATGATATTATAAGTAACTTCAATCATATTATTAACTCTTTATCTCATAAGAAATTAAATGATCATAAGTTTGTAAATGAGAAAGGAAGAAATTTGATGGAAATAGAACTATTGACAAACCGGAAAAATCAGTGTAATAAGCTCTCCATCTGGTTTTAGAAGATCTCGAATTCTACTGGCCCATTGTGCTCTCACCTCTGGTTCAATGGCACAAAAGAAACTGCCAATTCGAAAGTAATGCCGTCACATAACTGGTCATTTCGTACGATAATAAACACATGGTCATGTCAACCTTACGTGTAGTCAAAGATAAGATCAAACAAATGAGTGGGACGCCAGGTGAAGAAATCTGCCTCTAGAAAAGCAAAATACTCCGCACTTTTTGATGATGAAAACAGCTACCTTGTGCAAAAATAAGGTGTAGATACCATGAGAAATCATCAGAATGTATGAATAAAACCAACAGAATCACCACTATAAACCTGTTCTCTGAACTTTCAAGAAGTTAGAACTATATACTGAAATGGGTCCTCAAGAACAACAGACAACATATGAAGCATTATGTTAGTGTTGGCTAAACTACTACTCCAAAAAGCATTTCCTTTGACCAAAATGACAATGGAAAAATTAAATGCAGAGTCTCATGGTTGAGCTTCTGTGTCACTCAAAATTCTGGACGAAAAGCTGAAACTTCCTATATCAAAATCACACAGCAATATCAACAACCAAACTGAGAAAAACTTAGCTAAGTGATCAAAGAAGTTTATAACAGACCGAAAGCTAAAGCTCCTCCTTCAAGTGAAGAACGTAAATTTATCCACCCAATAAAACAAAAGGGAAGGTAATAAGCATACGCATGCAAGAGAAAATTTGAGGTTACACTCCGTCCATAGCTAGCTACTTCTAGCTCCTTATCAGTTTCTATTTTTAGGTTCTCAGGGATCCAATCATACTTTCTTCCGGAAAGAGATTATTTTGCACGCCAAAATACCTAAACTAAGCCCCCTCTTCCTTACACCATAATGGTGGCTCCTAGCAAACATTACCCTCAAACATCATCACCCCCAGGGTTGGTCAAACATAACAAACATAAAAGGACGGCCAGAAGGCATACAGTGATAGCTAAGGCACTCTGCGTCCAGCTAAGATCAAAAGCACCTTCCATCATCCAATTTCCAAGAAATTGTTGCCACCACATAATCTCAAATGGTTACAGAGCTAGGACCTCCCCTAGTTGGATTCTGAGAAAGGGCATATCTCTGGTAGTCATGATCCTTTTAGTCTACAGGGAACATACTCTAACATTATATTTAAAGAGATTTGTTCAAATTCTTGATCCTTGACAACTAAAAGTCAAATTTCCAAAGGAAGCAAGAAGATGAGCATCATTCACGAAATCGAATTCTTCAGCCAAAGATAACAGTCAGGAAGTTATTTAGTTTCCAATGCACATTGCATTAACAAGCTATACATCAAGATAAGAGTAAGTAGTGAAGAATAAGCAGAGAGGTTGCATAATATTTCAGTTTTGGAAGACAAGTCTTTGAACCATTTCTGTAAGGAGGTTTTAGGCAGTGTTGGGGAAACCGCTCGCTTCTGCGCTTAAACCAAGAAGCGAAGCGAAGCCGTAAGGAAGTCGCTTCAGATGGGGGGAAAGCGATGCGGCTTCGATGAAGTGTACGCTTCAAAGAGTGAAGCGTGAGGCGAGAAGCGCGCGTTTTACTTTCTTTTAAGTTTTAAAGGGTTTAATTTAAAGAAAAATACTTTCTGAAGGGTTTAATTTTTGTCTACTGCACCTGTGAGTCCACATTCAGAAGCTGCACGACTCAACAGAGCTAGGGTTTTCAGAAGTTGAAGACTTCTTCAAGGCTCAGGTATGAATCGGGGCCTTGTCGCTTCACGTTTTAAGTGAATCGGGGCCTTGTGGCTTAGCTTCGCTTCACGCTCGCCCCAACACTAGTTTTAGCACACCAGATTGAAGTGATCAAAAGTATTAGCTCTTACTTTTGTAGCTTGCTTAATAGCATTTTCTGATATATCCAAGCCAACAACAAAGCGTTCAGGGCAGGCAATTGCCACCACGTCATGACCCTGCGCAGCATTTACTTCAACTAAGTGAAACGAAACAGTATCAAAAAAGTAAAAGAGAAAGAGAGGTAGCTTTTGGTGCAATGAAGCAGTGGTGCTACGTATAAAGTATAAACAAAAGAAAAAAATCGGAAGACCAAATCAGTTGATTAGACCCATGAATATTTGGTGTCAAATGGCCTAATAACAACAATATTGGAACCACGTGTTGCATATAAATAAATGGTTGATCACCCGTTCTTTTTTTTAGAAATCCTAAGGGCCAATAGCGCATGGCTCAAAACTCGACGAATAATGGGTACGCCACTCTACCACCTTTTCCACTTAATTACCACGTTTTCTCTGCAGCAGGGTTTGAACTTGTGACATGTGCCTAACCCACACATCACGCACTGCGCTCTGGCCAATATATCAAAGCCCTGGGGACAATCTCAAGTTCATGTATTAATCAGAAGAAAACATTCTACTTGACTTTTTATTCTTTTTCTTTTTGAATGAACATTCTACTTGACTTTTCTCATAAGGAAAAATCAGAAACTATAAAAGTCAGCCATCCTTCCATAATTATGCAAATTGAGCATGCATGAACTCTTAATTTCTGGATATTACCATTACACAATTAGCAGAGAAAACCTAACTTTTTTCTTAAAGCATAAATCATTGAGTATTATAATAAAACTGGCCCCATCAAACCGGACTGAATGTAAAGAATTCACAAAACAAGATATAAGACACAATAATGAAGCAAGAAGTACAACATCATGATGTAGTTCGATTCCCATGAACGAATCAGGAGATAGAACAAAACAACTCACACTGCCACAACCAGGGACCAAAGCCCTGCCTTTGGGAAGGGCACCTCTCTGATGAAGATCAACAAGTATTGGGGTAGGCTGCCCTAAATCCCAGGGTGTCAACCCCTTCTCCCAGCAATGTTCCCAACCACCTAGCAATTACATATGTGAATTTGTAACATCAAATAAAAAAAAGATCCAATTTTTCTTGGGGAGAATAAAAAGTTATTGGAAATTGGAAAGAAACAGATGCAAATGGAGCAAAATTATGATATCACTCCGTCCCAATTGATGTGGCATATTTTCCTTTTTAGTCTGTTCAAAAAGAACATCATACTTACTTATTTAAACACAATTTATTAAAAACCTTTCCATTTAGATAATTATAGCCACACAAATGTCTATAGCTTGTTTCAGAAGTATCTCTTTCTTTCTTTAAAACACTTTGTTCAGTCAAACTATACCACATAAAATGAGATATAAAGATTCAATTTTTATTGAGTAAAATCATAATTATTNCACCACCACCCCCATCCCCACAAAAAAAGAAGGGTTTACCAGAAGGGTCAGAATGAACTAGCTGTTGCATTTTGTCAACTTTAGGTTGTGAATCCTTCGACGAATGGTTTCTTGCCATTGCGAGTCTACTGAGGGGAGCAGTTAATAATGGCAAAGTGTTGAACAGAAGGGCATAGGAGGAGGAACACAAATGGGTCCTCATTGGTTGGCCCGTCGGGAATGTAAGAATGGTCGTTCCCATCGGGTCGGATCATTAATATAGTTGGCAGTTAATTATAGCGTGTTTGGGCAATCTCCAAAAAATAACTTATTTTGAAAAGTATTTTTTCTTAAAAATATTTTTATCAAAAAACAGCTAGTATTTAACTAATTAATTTATAAAATACTTTTGAGTAGTAACTAGCATTTGGTCAAGCTTCTAAAAAGTGATTTTAAGTATATTTTTCTCAAAAGTGTTTCTATTTTTCCAAAATTGCCTTTTTCTTCTAAAAGCTTGCCAAACACTTCTAACTTAGAAAGAAAAAAATGGCTTTGGGGAAGCGGCCAAACAGATTATTACTTACTTTATCAATTTTCTCACTTTTTATATAATGCACTTTAATTGTGTAAGAAGATTTTTAAATATTTGTGGGACTATAAATAAAATATGAAGTTTAAAATTTTTAATTTTAAAATTTTGTGTGGCTGCAGATTAAAATATGAAAATTAAAAATTTTAATTTTAAATATTTGTGTGACTATAAATAAAATTTAAAATTTAAAAACTCTTATTTTTAATATTTGTGCGACTATAGATAAAATGTAATATTTAAAACTTTTTATTTTTAATATTTGTGTGACTAGATAAAATGTAAAATCTAAACTTCTAAATATAAAAATATTTTTGTTTTAACGTTGTGATATTTGAAAATATTAACTTAATACTCTTAGGGATCGTTTGGCTGTGGGGCAAGGTGGATAAGGTAAGATAAAGTATAGTACTAAATTTATACTATGTTTGGTGTAACACCAAATTTCGTGTCTGCAAAAAATTAATAAAGACAAGAAAAATAGTGATAAATATTATATTTGATTTCAAGCAATGGGGTTACAATCTCTAGAATATCTCAAATCTAAAGAGATGTAGTCCTCTGATTCTTCTCCTTAAGAATGATGGTTCAAGGGCTCGAGAGCTTAATCTTGAACTTGATGGATTTCAGATTTGTGGTGTGTCAAGAATAGTTTGAAGACCGTCACGAATCAGGATTTGATGTGAGTTATTACGAACGGAAGATTTGAAGCCGCTCGCCTATGATTTGAGTTCGTATTTGGAATTTGACCACAGATGAAGATGGTAGATATAGGAATCTTGGTGTTGTTCTTAAGAGCTTCTTTAGCCTTTCTTCTACTTGCCTGATGTGCTTCTAGTCTTGTATTTTGACACCTTTATATAGATGTGGGGTGGAGTAGCCTCAAAGAAAAAGTTTATGGGCCATTGGACTTGGAACCATGGGTCGACCAATTTGATAGAAGACCAATTAATGGGCTAGCCCAATAGTATAATGGACTTTTATTTAAATCAATTTAATTGAATTTAAATAATTGACCTAAATATAGCAATCCATAATATTTATTTGGACTAATATATATTTAATTTATTGTAAAATCCAAATTTTTTATGGATTTAAATTTGATAAAAATTTAGTTGCTTAAAAATCCCCCTGCTCCAAGGCTTATCGGGTTGTAGGCTTACCGAAATCAAAGAGAATACTTAAAGCACAAGTGACGACAATGTCTCTTTATGGCTCATTTAACCAAACCGTTCAATATAGCAAGGTGAATCATCTTATCTTCCACTCTATTTTAGAGAAGAATTTAATTGCATCAAGTTGTTATAGTAAATACCATGATATTCCCATTGCACCTTGAAAGTTGACTTTCAATGTGAACCATCAACATGGAACTGGATAGTGGATTCCTAATATAACATGGTTGTGGCATAAGTAAATAGTCCAAAATAAACTTGGTTGACTTCCATAGAAACTACTTCTTTATGGGTGTGGATTACCAAATTTGGTAAGAATCCACTTGAAACCTACTTCATGTAGGACGAGTTCACTTTTTTAGTTCAAACAAATTCCAAAATGTAGGTGTTTCTAACTTAGTAGCTCTTCCAAAACTTCCATATGAGACTTCCTTGGTCAACTAGGATTGATCTTTTAAGGAAGTTTCTTGCACAACAAGCCAAGAGCAACCCCCTTAACAATTTTATATAAGGAACAAGTTATACAACCATGTTCATCATATATTCTTAGAACTCCTTAGTTATTGGCTTCCTTCGAAGGTCGTGTTGGAGAATCCCTTACACTTCTCTTATTTAGTTACTACCTTTGAGCCATGCTCTCGTCCATCGGTTTACGTGACTAATAATTTTTTCTTTTGCTCCAGCTGCTGCTATGAATTATTAGCTTTGTGCGTCTATCGGAAAAAATCAAATCTCGTCGTAGGAGCTTCCAAAACTCACTCCATAAATTTGACATGTAGAATTAAAACATATCAAAAAATGGAGGCTAAATCCGTTTTGTACTGTTTTGGGTGAATTTTTTAATCTTGCTTCAGATTATGATGCTCTTAGCTTTTTTGTTTTGTGCAACTTCACCAAAAAATCATATCTTAGTGTAGTAATGTCGAAATCAAAAGCGATTTATGGCGCTAGAAACTAGACTTCAATTGATATGACTTAGGTAAAAATCACAATTAGAATGTTCCTACTTCCCAGATATTTTCTTGAAATTAAGAAATAAATTATGACATGTTGGCCTCTTCAGTTTTGCCGGTTTTCATGGATTCTGCCTTTTTCTTTTGTAAACTCTTGAAGCAGCACATCGGACCGTGAATTCCATCAGTAATGATGCATTTTATTGAACACGATACACCATATCCATATCTTGAGATTGTTAGAGATAAGCAAAATCTGCACGCCCAAGTTCTCACTTTAAAAGTTTATTCTCCGGTGATACGTGCTCTCGTACTCGCTAGAAAGCCTCTTGAAGCCTCCCTTGATCTTGCAGAATGTTCAACTAAAGAGACGTAGGATGCATTGGACAGATTCTCGAGCAAAGCAACCATCATGAATGTCCTACTTTTGAAGTCCTCCATACATCAGAAGCTCACGTTTGCTAGTCCTCCTTATCACGATCATGATAGACGTCTCCACGCCTGGAGTGTTCCTTTTTTAACTGTGGTGAAGTTCCTTGTATGTCCCAATATTGAGAGTGGGTAGAATATGTTCTTTCTCACAACAAGGAGACTCAGGATTGCATCAAGGTCTATGATGTCATCTTTGCTTCGTTGTTTATGTACGACTACAATAAGAATATCCTTCATGATGTTTGCGAGCTTTGGCATCCATTTACCAACACAGTTTCTACCTCTATTGGTGACCTCTCCATCTCTTTGTAGGACTTGCGAGCAATTCGAGGCCTTCCCGTACATGTATCCTTCTACGATGAAGTTATCCCCTCAACAAAGGAGTTGACACAAGCAAATGATCAAGGAAAACCTTTCCTCCAAAGAAGTTGCCTGCATCTGTTCTTAGCGTTCTATAAACTCATGAAAGATGATATCCACGAGATCTCTATTTGGGATTGAGTGGTGTTGTAGTTTCGAGGTCTAAGTAGGTATACCAAGCCTCCCCAAAAGTCATCAAGGAATCGGACTACAAGGCCAAAGTTGAATCATAATCTTTCTGAAAATATTGACATGATCTTCCTGCCACGAATCGACGAAGAGAATGCCCCATTCGTTGAGCTTGGCTTAGAGGAATCACTTCGAGCTGAGACTTATTTGGTGACTTTCCTTGTTATCTTTTCAATTTTTTATTCTCCAATAAGAAGATTGACTACTCATACTAGTGTCTTCAAAATCGCGAGTTTGATGGCTCATGAAGAGAAGTTTTCTTTGGCGGTTCCGGTCCTTGCAAGTATCTACTGTGGCTTGGATGAGATATTCGTTTTCAATATTTGGGTGCCTGCAAAGCACTCTTTCCTATTCTTATAGTCCCTATAGTTTTAGTCGATAATTCTGCTTTTGTCAAGACGTTTCTGGCAACGTCATAGAGCAACCTTTTGATGGCTCACTTGCTACACCCCATATTTTCGTACGTAAAAGTATGTCGTAAGTCAGTTGATGTAAGCTCGGAAATAAGATCACCTTTAAAAGTACATAAAGTAAGTTAATCATATTTTTTTGGAGGTTACAAATATTTAAGATCGTGAACTGCAAGTATAAATAGGATTGGAAGGTTTAGAAGCTAAACAAATCGAAGAAAATAAGTTTTATCGAAAGTCAACAAGTTGGGAATGTTATATCCCTTACTTTTGGGGTGAGACTAAGGTTCTTAACATGATAAGAAGTTGATTTTATGAGGTATTTTAGTCGTATGATAGTCGTGTGTTAAGTTTTGAAGTCAAACGAGTTGTGAAACAAAAGTCGACGAAAGTCATCACAAGTTACGTTCATAAATTGTACTGAAATTTGGGTCTAATGTCAATGAGATTTTCTCTCAATGTACTTAGAATTATTGGATGATCCATCCCACAAATGGAATATCTATGAGTATAGTTTCCAATGCAATAAATCGTTCATCTATACAATGTCGAAATAGGGAGATAATTGTATTTTCATGAGATTGCGCAAGCAGCTTCCTTTAGGGCCCACAAGGCCGGTTGAGGATTATCTTGTTATATAATGTTGTGATCTTCGTCTCCAAACCTTATCTTTTTACCCAAATAAGACCTAAAACCCTCTCCAGACCTTCTAAACATATCCTTAGGTTTTGGAAGCCAAATCAAAGGTGGAGAAGGTGAAATAAGTGGATTCAAGCGTTAGGAATCCGAGCTAGTCGATAGTTCACCTCTTTCTCTCTTCGTGGCTGATTGAGGCATGCATAGTAACGAAGTAATCTCCGCAAATTGGGGATTTGTGTGCTATAAGGTATGTTATTCACCCTCTCCTTGGGTTGAGTCATTATTAGGTCATAGCAAGCCTAGATATTAAAGGATAACATGTTAAACTTGAATATGGGAGTATGTTTGAGGTGGTGTGCATATGAAACTATTTTGGAAGGCTTTTAAGATAGGTTTAGGCTGGTTCTTGATGTAGTATCTTGGGTGTGTTGTTGTTGATATTGTTCTTGTTATTTTTGGTGTTGGTTTGAATTGAAAAGAAGTGATACATGTGCTGCCCAAT